CTACCTAATAATTTGATGCATATTTATCATATATACAGCTAGCTTTCATCATATACAGAAAGCTAGTTATTTTGTCAAAATCTTATAGATTCTATTAATTCATAAATAAGAAGCTTTTATTAAATTGAAGGCGAATGTCTTTGTCTTTGAAAGCAAAATGAAAACATATTTTGTTATACACTTCGATGATATTCAACGAATAATGCATATATCACAAATAAAAATTAAAATTTTACCACTGCTAAATTTATTATTCCAAAACAAGTCATTATAAATGCCCGTTCTTCAAGTGATCTCTAGTAGTGATGAGAAGATTTGAAGCAAAACTAGACTGGTTATGGCAAAGTAATTTCTCGTCTTCGTAAGATGTAATATCTCACGGAAGAAAACTTTTGAAATGATGAAAATTATATTGAAAATAATATACTTATCTAGCAGATGTAAAAATATAAAAATTTCATGATTAGGCTATCATTATTTTCAGAAGAATCTTTTTTTCCTTATTTCACGTTTAGATTGACTTTTACAAATTATGATAAAAATATAAGTAGAACGCATTATAATTACATTATGCTTCAATTTTTTTTATTGCCATATGATGGATATATTGCAATATCGCTGACAATACAAAATGATAAATTAATGAATATAAGCTTACTTGTGATTCAAGCGAACGCAGCCTCATCTCCTGTTGCGATTCACTTTGGCCTTTTGGCAGTGACCTCTGAAATCCAAAAATACTCAAAGTCAAACTTTTTTTTTGGTACTTCCAAGAGCAAATCGAACTTTTGCACAAATTTCAACATTCTAATTGAGCTACAAATTAACTTAAAATAAGTTAGAAAGCCTATTTTTACATTAAACTTAATTCAACACAATTTAAGAGGTAGCGAGGTAAACTGATTTTCAGTGAGCTAATCTCTGACTGTTCCGTTAGTTATTTATCAAGTGACATTTAAGAGATTACAAATGTAGTAAAGTTACAAGAACAAATATTTCAGTAAGTTAAATAATCAAATGAAAATCACTTAAAACAAACTAGCAAAAATGAAAGTGCCAGAGTAGCCTGCTGCTGAACTTGGTGAAAAATTTGTTGATATTAGTAAAAAATCATGAAAACAAATGACTTAAAAACTCAACAACTTTACTATAAAGTAAAGTAATTAGCAAATGAAAGTCTACAGAATAATATAAAGTAAAGCCAACAATATTTAAGCTGAGATTTAAAATAAAATACATTAATCAAAGTAGGATAGTTTTCGATTTAATCTACACTTTGAACTATGCAAATATATTTCTCTTTTATGTACGACTAAAGTCAACAAAAATTAACTCCAAAGTTCTTAGCATTTAACTTTTCATTTATTTTTTTTAATAGCTAATTACTTTACTTTATAGTAAAATTAATTATTATAAGTTTGACAAAACCGTTTTTTTAACTTAAAAATAATACTCATTCAAACTTTTTGTATGTAAACTGAAACAAAGATAAATAAAAGATTAATTAATTTCATTACGGAATCAAACGACGACTGCTACAGTTCTTTTTTTTTACAATAAATTTATTTCCTAAGTAAAGACAAGACTTTTAAAAAGGATGAAATTACAAAAAGCACAATGCAATATCCACTCACTGCATAATTAAATTTTATGGACAATAAGTTGCTATAAGAAATGTTGTTCAACTATAAATATGCATTGAATGTATAATAATAATAACAATAATAATAATAATAATAATAATGATAATAATGAACATATTCTTTTTCTCCTACAACAAACTTGCATAAAAATAAATAACATTAACAATAAATATTTCTTAAAAAGAATAATAAAAAAACGAATTATACAAAATGTATTTAAGTTTAAGAATCACTCTGAATGTGATTTTAGTATTTACAAGTTAAATTGCATTCACAATGTATCTTGCTAGTATTTAGCTTCAAGTAGCTTCTCCTTAGCTTCTTCTTTTTTTAATAACAAATTTAGTAATAAAATGTGCACAACAACTTAAGCTAAAATCAAACCACTCACTCTGTACACATTTAAGAAGAAAAAAAACGGAATAAAACATCTCAACTGCGATTTTTGATTACTTTTTAGCAAATTATATTCTAAAATATTTACAACCTTAACCAAACTTTAAGGTTCTTTTTTTAAAAAAAAATTATAAAAACGATAAAATTGCAAAGAGCACAATATAATAATTGAGATAAAATATTAGCAAATTAAACTGTCTGTCACAAATTTTTTCATTTTTTTGCTAAATATAGTATCTAACTTTCATAGAGGGAAAAAGGGTTTATAGTTTCAAATAATGCAAACATGTTAGCTAAAACTGACCAAGAAAAGAGCACGAAATCATTTTTCTAACTATAAATAGAAAGTGATGGTATAAAAATTATGAAAAAATAAGAAAGTTGAAACAGCATATTATTGCCATCATTTCTTTTAATACTATCATCATATTATGTTTGTTATCAACCATACTGAAGTTTTATTATTGCTAATTTTTTTGAACATACATTAATTACTATCACCATTATTATCATATTACATCATAAAATTCATGCCAAAATTGCGTCTTAAAATCTTATTTTTTTAGATTACAAAATTGCTGATTTAACACAATACTAATATTATTATACTTCTTTTCGTAAATGCTAGTTTGATTACTAAACTATTTAAAATAATCGGTCAAAGTAAAAATAAAACATAATGCATTTTTTTAATCTTTTCTTTGATTTAAATATAGTATATGAATGAGGATTAATGTAGTATATGACTACTGTTGATACTAAAGTATAAGAATGAAAAAAAATTTGAATATTTACCAGAGAGTTACATCGTTGTGACTGAACATTTGATGAAGATACAATAGGAATAGATGAGAGCGACGAGTTTGACCCATTCCTTATGTTGACAAAAATAATTAATTACATCTTAAATTAAAAACTTGTTGACTTAAAACAAATTTGAATAAAAGCTATTCGTCAGTGCTTTTTTATTGACTTATTTTTTGTTTTGCTGTTTGCAATTTGTAAATCAGTACTGGACTGTGCTAGTAAATAAACTTACTACTAAATTTGTTAATAAAAACATTTGTAATTAAACAAAATAATATAAATGAACACTGAAGTCCTGCATTTATGAAATGATGATTGTGAAAATATTAAAATATATTTTCGGTAATATAATTAATATATTTAATTACATACATCGATGCGCAGTAATGATCTCTACTCTAATCTAATCTAATCTGACACGAACTTTATCAAATCTTTAATTCTAATGTATTTTTGCTGCTGTGCTCATTAATATTCGTATTTAATTTTTATCTCATTATAAAAAGTAACTGTCAGCCGATTACAACTTACTTAGTCATAGCGTTTTGCTGTCGACTAGAAGATTTCTCTTTAATTCGAGAAACAGGTGAACGACGACAAGCTGGAGATAAACTTTGGTCATGACGTCGCTTTATGCGTTCAACATCGCTATCGTCATCTGATGATCCAAATGATCTTTAATTACAAATACTTTAATTTCATTATAGCAATAGTCAAATTTATACCATTTCAAATTGTGTCTCAAAGGCAGAATAAATATTTCAATACTTTAGTATCAAAATAATTTTTTATGTGACGATAATTAATGTTCAAAAATTTTAGAGCATAAGATAGAGAATATTTGAACTTTACGCTACGAACGAAAAACAGTAAATAGAACAATTGAAAATTGCTGATCTGATGGTTACAAAGAATGAGTACGTAAATAGTTTTAACCTTTCAGAAGGGCTTGTTTGTCGCACCCTTGATGACTGACGAAGTGAATTTAATTCGTCTTCTGTGCATGATTCCTCATCCATCATTGAATTCGAATGATGAGATTCCGGTGCTACATATGCAATATGCTTTTTACGCTAAAATTAAATTAGCAGACGAAATTAGTAAACATATTGCGCAGATTGAATAATAAAAATCAAAGTAATGATAAAAGAAAACTAAAAAAGAGTCCTGAAAAAAATGCATATCTGACTTAATAAAGTGATCAAACCTTATATCACATAGATTTATTTATACAATACTTACAGGAGGTATTGAAATCAAGTCAGTTTCTGGTAGACTCGCAGCATCACTAAGACAAGT